TGGAATTCCTTTTTCAATGTCCAACTTTCTGATTGCCAGTAAGCAGCTGAAAATACCAGGCCTTGGATCAGATGCATCTTAGTATTTAAAGTGCATAATGCAGGTTGTAAGTGAATCTTCTTTCAATCCTGATGTCACATTCTTCTTCAAATAGGCCAGTTCTCAAATGATTTGCTCAGCAAACAGGTTTAAAAGATAAGGAGAAAGGTTAAACCCTGACATATACTTTTCTGATTTTAAACTACATTTGTTCTCGTTATGTGCTGTTGAGTTACTTGAAACTCATAGCATCTCTATGGACAATAGCCCTGAAACCTGCTCTATCCAGTGCCAACTTTACTGTCTCTGACACACTACCCTCATTACCCCAGTCACTATATCAATCAATCTCATCTAAGGTCTTCTGTTTCACTGTCCCTATACCCTTGCAAGGATGATATCCCTCTTCAAGGACTGGTCCCTCTTTGCAACATGCCCAAAGTATGTCAGATGAAGCCTCAGAATCCTTGCCTCCAAGGGACAGCCTGATTTCACCTTCTCTAGGACAAACCTGTTTGTTTTCCTAGAAGTCCATGGTGTATTCAACACTCTTCTCCAGCACCACAGCTCAAAGGCATCAATTATCTTTCTATAATTCCTAGTCATTGTCCAGCTCTCTGATGCATAGCAAGCAATTGCAAAGACTATGGCCTGGATCAAGCACACCTTAGTCTCTAGACTGATGTCACTGCTCTTCAGTACTCTGCAGAGGTCCCTGACAGCCAACTTTCCCAATGCAATTTGGTTTTTTGATTTCCTGGCTGCTGGTATCAGGAGTGTTGATTGTGGAGCCAAGCAAACTAAAGCTGATAACAATCCCAATCTCTTCATCATCTATCATGATGCTGCCCAATCGGCCCAGTGGTGATAATCTTTGTTTTCTTGATGTTGAGCTTCAATCCATATTGAAGGCTGCAGTCTTTGACCTTCTGCAGCAAGTGCTTCGGGTTCTCCTCAGTTCAGCAAGTAGGGTTGTGTCATCTGCATAATGCAAACTGTTCATGAGTCTTCCTCCAAACCTGATGCCACATTCCTCCTCATGCAGCTCACCCTCCCGGATGATCTGTTCTGCACCTATTTTGAAAAGGTATGGATAGTGTTCCCTTTTTGTGTTTGAAGAACTTTTTCTTGGTCTAAGAGTTAAGGACTCTCCTTCATAGGGTCGTTATCAGTTGGCTGCAACTCGACGGCACTGAACAACAATAACATCACCATAGAGAGAGAGATCAGCTGGCCCAGTGGACAGAAAGTGATGCTACCAAGCCAAAG